AGCATGTCAAATATTTTCGGTGTATCATTTTTTTAAGCGGATCTTTCAAACAGCACACCTACCGTAACCCTACAATGGGGCACTATGGTGCAAAAGGAACAATGTCAGCGTGATCAGCACTTGAAGTAACCCAACTTAAAAAAGTTTTGGCGGACGAGATTATTAATCCCAGCGGCAAGAATACCTAATAGTATCGATCGATGACGTCGCACAATTATGTCTAATACGTGTATGTAATAATTCTTGATCCAAAATGTCAAAACTTCAGATCTCGTTGAAACATCGCCTCTTGGGGTTACTTATCATGCTGAATACAAATACTATATCAGCTTCACTCGGTAGGGCTTTACTGCATGATTACAAGTGCACGGACAGAGTCCAGATTCTCGGATTCGCCTTAAGATCTACTGTGGTTATTTGATTCGCTGAACTCAAATGACGTATCTGTAGCACGGTAGCGCCTTATTGTGGTAACACTTTTAGCATGAGGTCAGACCAGGCTTCGTATATTTCTAGAAAAGAAAGATAATATCTTTTTTAGAAAATTTGTATCAGCAACTTTAAGCCAAAAACTTCCATAGATTTTGTGAAACTATGTAGATTAGCCGAAAAGCTATGTAGATTAGCTGAAAATTCACGAAGATGTGCTCTGATCGCTGAGGAAAGGGGTGTTCTATAGGCCAAAAATAGAAGTAAAGGATTTGGTAGTCCATAATAAAATCGCTTTGTGAGGGGGTTTTACAAGCCGTATCTCTACAGTAAAGCACAACCGTAGTTAATGTTCTGTGATCAGCGTATCTAACAACCCATGTGGGTGGAGATTTGGACGAATCTGCAGTTTTGTCGCAGTTACCACCTTCACGATAAGGCGTAACTGCAACCAGTAGATTGCTTTTCATGATCAGCATATGAAATAATCCCTCTAGGCGATTTGCGGAGAGTAGCGATGGTGACTTCTTAACGTATGCCTGTCGCAAGTTTACAGTACCTTTACAGTACGTTGCTGCCGTAAGACATGAATGAATTTTTCATAGCCACCGTGCCAGTTATCTCTTCTAGGCTAAGTTTTAGATAGAGATGTTGACCTCTACCGTATGCCTATCGTGTACCTTAAATGTTACCGTAGTGTGCATACTAGGAAATTTCTCTCGACTGTGTAATGCCCTTTTCTTTCAAAAAATACCTGTTTTGAAAGAAGTTACGACTATACGACGCTTTGCGACGGATTTTTATCTAACAACACGTTTTATGCAGAAGTTATAAACGGTATCGTACTTCTCTAGAATGCTACAGGGTTAATTTAGTCAAAACATCAGTTTACGAAATGAAATCAATTATCCAGTCCATAATTATGTTACTTCAAAGTACGCTTTCTTTACATAAATTCACTTTAAACATTGAGATAGTAATCGTCTTTCAGGGGGAGCGAACATTACTTGAACATCTTCCCACACTCATTTTTCATAACACCTCTCCGATACCACACCATCCTGCATCTCCAAAATATGCCGCTGATCCATCCAAAGTACGTATTCAGACTGGTACAAACTCATGCACTTGTTTCAACGATATGACCACTCTGGAAGAAAGTAGGTGGAATACGCTTTTTGCTCTTGTCAGTAAATGCAAATTGCAAATCTTCTCCCAACTAGAAAGGATAACAGTTTTAGTTCATTCTTCTTTTTGTCATGTCATTACGCAAGTTATATTTAGAGAATTAGATGGGAGAAAATGTTTTGATAACTCAGGATAATGTGAGCTAAGTATTTCTCTGCAGGTTTTCTGGTTATATGTGCACAGAGCGAAATACTTTTTCCCTAATTATAAGAATCTATCCGTACCGCCGGAATTCGCTTATATCAGGTCCCGCAAAACTGGTTAGATTCTTTTCAATGGCACAGCTGACTGAACAATTCTCAGGCACTACCGCGATACCACTGCAGGTGATTGGGGCAAGAGATGGATGCCATCATTGGGCGCATATGATGAATGGGAAGTAACTTATTATCCAGAACACCTAATGCACAAACTCTATACAAAAGTAAAGGAAAGACTTGATGATGTCTATGGGAAGTGGTAATGATAAAAGTCAGTTCTCACAAACTTAATTAGTACAGCGCTTCTTGTGATGCGCCAATGAGCATGGGACATCAGGATAAACCAAATACTACCTTCAATCGACCGTGAAAATGACTATGAAGACAATGTTGGATCAATGGAATTGATTTTGTGCCGTCTCTTTTTCGCATTTCATTCTTCCTTTTGCCTCTACGCACTCGCACGGAATATATAATGCTTCTAGCAACGTTCAATGAATCATGAATATTAACGGTTGTTAATTTTAGGAACGAATGTAAATTTTTTATTGGTAATGGGTCTGATCCTCCTTGGAAGATCATTGAATGTATTTCTAGAATTATCTCTTGTTTCACTTATCTCTCAAGGTCTTTTTTTTTTGCAAACACAAGATTCTATTTTCT